CCAGTATCAATACCATCGCTGATTCTTTCTATCTTAATAAGAATCTCTAAATATATAGCAGGAGCGCCATACCATTTATGTCATCAATTTTCAAAGCAAGTTTTAGATTTATAAAAGAGTAACGTAAGTTTCTCTGGCGAGAAAAAAAAAAATCACACGACACAGTGACTCAAATTTCCTAGAAACTGAACTAGCAATTGATAAACACACACACACACACACACAGATCTTCCATGTTCATCCAAGAACCACTCAGTGAACGATGAATAAGTTTAAAAAAGAGGAAACAGTAGAGAGATCATCATTTGTTTTAGAGCTGAAGAGATCAATTAGAAATTATTATAATTATTTTTTAAAAAAACGGAGAAAACCAATCATTTTGATAAGGGGTGATAGGATTTATATATATATATATATATATATATATATATATATATATATATATATATATAATTTATTTAGATATTACAGAGAAATCATGTAAAATTACAACATTGCAGTCGTGTTTCAACTCATATCAATCCGTCTCAAATCGACTAATGAAACGCATTGATATGCGTTGAAATACGACTGCAATTGTGTAGCAATTTTAGATGTTCTCTGTGGAATATCTTAAAATAACAAATATTGATCGACTCTGTATTGAGCACTTTTTAAATGAAATGTTACGAACGCTGTATATATATATATACACGCACACACACACACACACACACACACACACATATATATATATATATATATATATATATATATATATGACAAAAAACAATATGAAAATTCTACTGGGGTCATTAAGAAACTTTATTTACAGTAACAGTTACTTAAAATAAATATTCTTAAATACTCAAATGCATTTTCAACTTATTTTTCATATATATATATATATATATATATATATATATATATATATATATATATATATATATATATATATATATATATACACTGAAGCCCCTATATATATAGATAGATAGATAGATAGATAGATAGATAGATAGATAGATAGATATCAATAAATATATTGAAAATCCTACTACAGTCATTAAGAAATTTATTTTCAGTAACATTTACTGTAAATGAATATACTTAAAAACTCCAATTGCCTTTTCTTATTTTTCTCATTTTTGTATTTGTGTGGAATATATAAAAACAGTTTATTTACATTATTTACATTGTTTGGAGTGTTGATCGCACCTTTATTGCCATAATCATGACATTTCAGCCGTTGTACGCTCGTGCCTTCTTCAGGTGATTGGAATTTCGAACTAAACCCTTTATTTCATCTCCCATGAAAGATTGTTCTAGTTCTACGCGCCATGCCTATCTAGATGTCTTAGTTATCTCCCTTTAACTCAATTCGCCAAGCTTTTTTTTTCACCACACCAGCCGTAACTCGGTATTTAACTGACAACACTTTGGTGGCATGTCACAGGATCCAACCAATGATTTTACCCACTGGGTTCAGTTCGAAATTTCAATCATCTGAAGAAGGCGGGGGCGTACAACGATCGAAAGGTCGTGAATGTAGTAATAAAGATGAGGACAACAGTCTGAACAATGTAAATAATATAAATAGTTACAATAACTCATCTCAGAAATACTGAAAAAAAAAAACTTGCAATAACTTTTCTTTCTCTTCCATCCTCTTTTACATATTACAATAATGCATTGTGGAAAGATTAAAGTGTAAAGGTAGTGAATTTTAGAATGGATAAGGTAGATTTAGAGAGGATACTGAGAAAGTTTAATACCGGTTTAGATAGGTGAGTTATAGGGATAATCCTTTAAATCTCCTCAGTCCATAGACATGAATATTGTTGTTGTTATTGTTATTATTATTATTATTATTATTATTATTATTTCCTTTAATTTCTTTTGTATACACATTTCCTTCCTGGTCCCAACCAGAGAACTAAGGACAGAAATGGCGTCATGACATTTTACACTGATAATTGCCGTAAAAAAAGAAATGAAAAACATATATACATTTTACATATATAAATCTCTTTGTAATGTTTGAGCAGTACTTGAGAATGCAATTACTTGTATTTTTAAGACATGGGCTATCAGGAATGTCTTCAATGAGTCTATCGCAGACATTTCTTACCAATCCGAGGTGTCCAACTACAACTAGACTTATTGGTGTCCTCGTGTTCCACATCGTTTGAGATTTGCACTTTAAGATCTTTCTAATTTGAAAGTCCTTTGAAAAGTATTTTGGAGTGGATATCTCAAAAACTGAGGCACATGACGAAATCAATTGCTGTTGTAGTTTTTATTATGGTCATTATAAAGATATTATAGTTGACCTCCATTTGTCGTATAATCACATAAGGCAAGCGAATTGTGGTACTTTTGCTGTTTCCATGTAATTAAACAAAACACTTATTAACAATATAATCTATTATTATAATTCTATCATAACATTTCATAACACAGAAGTGCACACACATACATACATACATACATACATACATACATATATATATATATATGTTTATATATGTATGTATATATGTATATATATACACGTATATATCTATGTATATATATATGTATATATATGCATAAATAATTATATATATATATATATTATATATTGTACTGTAACATGTTTTGTTTCTGATATATACATATGTGTATATAAATATATATATATATATATATATATATATATATATATATTGTAGTTTAATATGTTTTTGTTTCTGATTTTACAATTGTTTTCTTAGTGTGATATATATATATATATATACGTATATAAATATGTATATATATATGTATATATGTACATACATACATATATATATATATATATATATATATTCATATATATATTGTAGTTTAACATGTTTTTGTTTCTGAGTTTTACAATTGTTTTTCTTTAGTGTGATATATATATATATATATTTTATATATATATATATATATATATATATATATATATATATATATATATATATATATATTGTAGTTTAATATGTTTTTGTTTCTGATTTTTACAATTGTTTTCTTTTAGTGTGATTAGTAAGCGGAACATATTATTCTTCGTCTCTTAAGAGTAAAAAATTATCGCCAAGATCGACTGAAGCGTTATAACTGACACAGGACTTCTTTTATAGCGTCTGTGCACGCCCTTAATTCGGTAAAAATCAACGAATAATTCTAGCCGATAATTACTGTTCACCACATTTAATCCCTTCAAATTTCTAACAGACGCAATAAATACATTGACTGGGTCGATTCAAATGATGGCCTTCCTCTGAATGTGAACTACAAATACAATCTCATAAACGCATGAAACAAGTAAATCGCTAAATTTGAACAATAAAGCTGAAAATTCCTATCTGTTCTACAGAACAGCTTCAAATGTTCGTGTTTTCAGTTCAGTTGTTAGAAAATGATTCATGCTGAAATAGCGACTAATTCAACACATTAAGAATTCTTGTCCTCTTGAAACACAGCTTGCTTCAGTCCAATCAAATTAGTTTTATACTCTCAGCTTTTTTAATAATAATAATAATAATAATAATAATCCTTGACGTAACTCTTTCAATGTTCTTCCACACTTAAGAAAAGAGCGCGATTTCAGAAACGAAAAAAAAAACAAACAGTATTTTACGCTGTTCAACAATGTTTCGAGAGTATGTCTGTCTTCTTCAAACAAATACTTTCACGTATAATAATAATAATAACAATAATAATAATAACAGAATTTGACAATATCATATGCGCAACAGCTTTAGCAGATATTGGAAAGTTTGTAGAGGAGACAATAAAAAGGATCAAAAACAGACAAAGACAGCCAGCTTGGAAGGCAAAACTGATGTGGGAAATAAATGGAAATCAGATGTGTGTGATATTTCGATACAAGGTTGAGCTCAGTAGAAACCCAAC